TGTTTGTAATCCTTTTTTCCCTTGTTTTTTCATGGTGTTCATGTTACTTTCCAACTCTGTTTAACTGCTGTGTTTCTGTTTTCTCCTATAAATTTGTTTTGGTTTTGTATATCTCTGTGTTCTCTCCTTTGTGGTGGGAGACTATGTCTAGAGATGTTGGGCTTTATTGTAATTTAAAGCTGATTCATTCAATTCATAAAAGGCTTACAGATTCTGTAGGCATATAGTGATCTGTTGTTTGGTCTTAGGACTTTATGTTTAGGTTGGGTGCTATGATGGTATGAAGGTTAGTATGTCTTGGCTACTTTGGAAGATTGCTCTATTGAAGGGGTATATTAACAAGCAAATGTATCAGGATAGTTGGTAATAGCTAGGTACTTAGGAGCCCTATAGACAGCCTCAGAACATTCACCTATTTGCATTTAGAAAATTACACGTAATGAAAGTCGTAATGATTGGGATGAAAGTTAGGGGGAAGGGGAAGGAAGGAGTCCTTAGTGAGAAAGAGGGAGAGAAAGGTAGAATAAAGGAGAATGGAAAGAACAATAAAACTTGAAAAGGAAAAAAAAGTTAAATGAAATCTTAGAGTTCTATTTTCTTCTCTTCCAGTGGGCGGAGATATGCCCTCTGAGCCAAGCTTCTGCCCTCTATGTGCTGGCAGCAATCCCTGTAAGGTGGCTCCTCTTCCCCTACTGGGCATCTATCCAATCCTGTTAGTCCAGAGCCATTTCTCTTTTCCGGCCCCTCCCCCCACTTCCTCCTGCCAGCCAGCCAGGCCCTGCTCACACCGTCAGTTTAATTTGTCCAGACCTCATCGGTGGCCATGCCCCTGGGAACTGGCAGCTAAGGCCTTGGGTGTCGCCACTGGTGGTAGGGGAAGTTGGGGGTTGGGAGTCCCCTCTGCTTCCCTCGGCCCCTGCAGTCACGCCCATGGAGCTCTGGGGCGAGATTTTTGAGGTTTCCCAGCTGTATGTATCTGGTTGAGATGAGGGTCACACACCTGCTAAAGCCGATTCTGCTGGGAAGGGATTACATCTGCCAAACTCTGGTGACTCAGCTCTCTACTATGGCGGGACCCAGACTCCTTGCTGGAGTGTCCGATGGGAGGGGTGGGTCTTGCCTGTCTCTGGTCTGTCCCAGTCTTGGTTTCAGTTCTGGTCTGCTGTTTCATGAAGGCTTGGTTAGCATCCTCTTCATAGAGTCTCTATGCCACACACGTTATCCGACAGTGCTGAAACGCCTCCTTCTGTGCTGGTCACCAGGCAGCAGCAGCCTGGACCTCCGTGCAGGATGGCCAAGATTCACCTATCCGGGGCAAGCTGTCACCTCAAACAATCCCAAATTCCCCAGCTAGGTCTCACTTCAGCAGAATTTTGCTGGGAGTTTCTCAGCAAGTAGAATCCAAATGTTCTGATGTGTCTCTATTTCCATGGCTGAGGAGGTACTGAAAGTGCTGTTTCCCCACCCGCCATCATGTTGAGTCTCTTCCCATTTTGAATCTTATTTAGAGACAAGATCTCAATGTGTTGCTTAGATCCTCACTTTTGCTGAGGCTGGCTTTTAACTTCTATCCTTGTGCCTCAGCCTCCTGAGCTGCTGGGATTACAGGCTTTCACCAGCATTCCAAGTAAGAAGATCTCTTTTTAATATATGCATTTTAGTTATGGATGTACACAATACTTATATTTTAATTATTTATTATTATGTGGTGCTGAGGATCGATCCCAGTGCCTAACACATGCTAGGCAAACCCTCTACTACTGAGCTACAAGTCCAGTCCAACAAAGACAATCTTAAAAGCAGCACACAAAGAACAACAATGAGAAAATAACAGACAGCAATAATGGACAAGATAATGTAATGATACTTTTTTTTAAAATTTCAGAATTTTAATGAAATCAACACATCTGTGTATTATACCAGGGTAAATTTTTCAATAAAATCCTCAGACAATATTTCTCCTTTCATGTTATGCTAAATTATATATACACATACATATAAAGATATGTATGTATATATACATATAAAGATGTATACATATATATATACATATATGTGTGTATATGTATATATATATATATATACATATATGTGTGTATATGTATATATATATATATATATATATATATATCTCTTTAAAATTTCATCCTTAACTTTCAAGGCTTAAAGGTAAAACAATTTCCTTCTTTGAATCCCCTAAGCCTTCATTTCTATCATTTAGGCTTAGGAATAATTCTGAGGAAAAGAACAAGCTTTTTTTTTTTTTTAGTAAGACAGAGTCTACGCTGCCCAGGTTGGCCCTGAACTCTTGGGCCCAAATGATCCTCCTGCTTCAGCCTCCTTAGTAGTTGGGCCTACAGGCATACACCACCGTGCCCATCCTGTGTAGTTTTTGTTTTTCCTTTTCGTGATGCTGGGGATCAAAACCAGGGCTTTGTGCATGTTAGGCCAGCCTTTATAGATGTGCTATGTTCCCAGCCCAATAGAACATTTTTTAAAAATCAAATAACTGCTCTAGAACAAGAGTTCTGGAGCCCTGGTTAGGCTAGGCACAGCGGGAAGTATAAATGGAGGTGGAAAAAAAGCAGTAAGACTACATATAGCACTTCTACCACAAATTACCCGGAGGGAGGGGCAAGAGGTAAAGTCATGGGTTGGTCTCTTTCACTCCTAGTAGCTGTCAGCATGGGGCACCTGAAGGAAAAAAAAAAAAACTACCCAGATCAAAGAAGAGAGATGTCCCAGTCTCCTTGGGAGGACGTGGCTGCTACAATCACGATGGAACAGGAGTGGAAACGGATTGCCAACCCCTTCAATGCTGGCTGTTACCTACAAAACTCAAGATAACAAAAAGGTCTTTGATTTGTAAACTTGCACTCATAAATACAATCTCTCAAAATAGAATTCAGTGCATTCTTCAACAAGTCTTGTCAACAGTGATACACAACATCCTTTCCTTTGGAGTCAGTGCTGTTAAATGTACTACATAGCCATTTTCCAAAGCAACGGTATAGTTGAGAACAGGTGTTCGGAGGCAAGTGCTAATACTCCTGCTATAGGGCGTGCACTGTTAGGATCTGTGGAGGATCTTACTGAGGATCACATCATAGTAGGGGCAAAACACCATCTTATTATAGTTGACCAGACGAATGAATTTAACAGCAATTTCCTCCAGCTCTTTCTGGACTGGACCCAGTCCCCCGGGAACTGAGGGCAATGGCTTCTGATGACCCGAGGCAAGGTAGGTTTCCAAGAAGGTCAGGATTCCGGATTCCATGATTCTGCGAATAGGGTCATCAGGACTGGCCACAGCCAGGATCTGGCCTTTGAGATGCGGTCTGTTTGTCAGTGGAAAAGGGGGAGGACCCACACAGCGAGAGGCAGCTGCTCACCTCCAGGCACACTTTCTCCCCAATCGTAGTCAGGGCATCCTCCAAATGGAAGGAAGGCAGATGCATATCAGTTAGCAGAATCTTCACAATCATCTTGAGTTTCTCAGCAGCGTTGGCCTGGCTAGAAATTCCAGGGGCTGCCATGTTGAATGTGACTAGCAGCACAGCTCCCAGGATGGTCAGCTGCTCTAGCTGGAGCTGGAGCTCCTGGAAGCGTGGATGGTCCATCAAAACCGTTTCAGGGAAAGGTCTATGGAGGTGGTCCCATTTCAGAAGCTTCAAGTATGCATAATTCTGGACGGCGACAGGGCTCAGCTTGGGAGCGTCCCCAGAGCCAGCAGCCCCTCCCCCAGCTGGCAGGGCATGTTTGTACTTCTGAGCCATAAGTTCATCTGAGGCTTCTTCTAACCGCTGGGTGACAAAGTCCAGGGAATTCGGCTGTTTCTCCAAAAGCTCTTGAAATTTCTTCCTCTCATACTCAACCAACTGCTGCATGAGATGTGGCCGAATGCTTGTGACAACAAAATTCGCCATGTCTACTTTCATTAGATCTAACACAGAAAAAAATTGTCCTGAAAAGGGGCACTATTTCTTTAATGTCCTTTAGTTTCTCAACTTCTTCATCTCGAACAGGTGCACACAGTGTTCCCATCATGCCAGTAATAAATTCTGCCAGCTTAGAAATGTCTAGGGCCCCATTCTCTGCTTCCTGTTTTATCAGATCCAAATCCAAGACTTCTGTTATTTGGTTTCTCAATCTAGTGTGACCAGGCAGCAAGAAAGACAAGAGTGTCTCTTTGATCTCTCCTACTAGTTTGATGGCATGGTCATATGTCGGGGGTCTTCACTCAACTGGCAACTCAAGCAATCCCAAAAAGCTTTATGTACAATCTCCTTTACTTTCTTCTCCAAGCTACCTTCCGGTAATTCAACTGGTCTAATCTGAAAGTCTCTGTTTACTGCAATTTCATGGGCTAGAGCCATGTTGGTGACTCCTTTCGCTGTCTCTAGGAGTTCTTCTACCGTCACAAATTGAGAAGGACTAGAGTGAGGTCTTTGTACTCTTTGGGGGTTAGAAGCATCCGACTTAATTTTTTTCTGTAAAGTTTTCATCAGAACATTCCACAGCACCTCCCAGGCTTTTCTCAGATTCATTTGATTTTGATTTTCCTGATTCATTTATACGAGACTTGTCAAGGTTTTCAGACATTCTCAATTAAGTTTATTCACTTTCCTGGGGTCCGATCCTGGCTCTTTACTAGCGGTGTGGCTCGGGTTTCCTCCCTGGAAAGCGGAGCTACATACCTCCTAGGATTGGGGGGACGATTAGACGGGGACTGTGCCCAGCGGATGGGCACACGAGCTTTTCACAAACGCTAACCACAATTAAAGGGCTACAGGGTGCTGCCTGGAGCCACTCCGGCGCTCTGAGTGCGCTCATTCATTCAATGATCCTCAGCCTCGACTGTGCCTAAAAAGGAAACCCGGGGTGGAAGGATCCACGCAGCGGCGAAGAACAGCCTCTGTCGGAGCTGCACGCGGGCCTCGGCCGGACTCCAGAGCCCCCCGCCCCGGCAGAAACGGTAAAAGAGGGGCTCTCCACGGGCGCCGGGGGTCGCTCCCTCCAGTGCTCAGCGCCACTCTCTCCCYGCGTCCRGATTCCATTGTAAACAGCTGTTTGGGTCGGCGAGGGAGGGGCGGGCCTGGAGCCGGCGACCAGAGCGGTGCGGGACGCGCCGGCGGGCGGCCTCGAGGGTGGGCCTCAACCGGCCCGCGGCCCCTGCCTCCTCCTCCCCTCAACCCATCACCGGGCCCGACCCAACGAGAGATGGCGAAGAAATGCTGTGCTTTCGACCTCGCGCCTCCTGTGAGGGCCCCGCCAGCCTCCGCGCCCGCGCCCCTCACCTGCCGCGGAGTCGGCGTCTGTAATAATGCTTTCAGGGAACCATGGGATGTAACTATAAGCATAGAATTTTGTATCCTGCTAAACCAAGTTTAAATTCAAAAGTAGAGAGAAGGTGAATATATTTTCATATAAGACTGAAAATTTATAACTCTAAGCAGGTTACTGAAAAATTGAGATTGAGGAAACATACTGAATTTAGAATATAATAGGGTGTTAGAAATGTTAGTCTTCATTTAATTTCTGTAGTTAAGATAGTTTTACTAATTTAAATATATGTATGTAAAAGATGGAGATAGAAAATTAAAGTAACTGTTTGGCACTCTTGTGAATGGCTCCAGAGTATAATGTAGTGTCCATAGTGGGTACAGAAAGGTGAGGGTAGTGATTTTCCCGCAAGGTGAGGGATATCAGATGATTTTTGTAAGCCAATGGAAATTATCTGATGGAGAGTGAAGTTGGAAAGATTCAAGAGAGTGTGAATACATAGGAGGAGCAAAACACTGTTGAAAGGGATGTGAGCTAGGGACAAGGCCATTCCCAGAAGAGGACCAGGACCTGACAGCTATAAAGTGTACAATCTCATAACTGTATATGGTCATGAATAAAGTCAGAGACACTTTCACTTGAACAGGTCAGAAACCAGAAAACAGGTATGGATGTATGTTGTTTGATAGATGTACTCATGAGAAATCAATGGTTTTTTTGTGGACTTGAAGTCTCTCTGAATATTGCAAAGAGCTTTTGAGTTCTGGGTGACATGTGCCACTGGAAGAGAAGTGAAAGTGTTAATAATCATCCAGAGTCTATAGCAAACAAGGGAACTCACTATTATGTGGGAAACATTGAGTGCAGATGCAGTTACTGTGTGTGGAGATAAATTTTTCCAGTGAAGTTGAGAGTTTCAGATAAAGGGGGTCAGGAACAAAATGTTAAGGGAGTTTGCAAGGGAGTTATATGTGTCAGTTGTCTCTGAATTTTATAAGGGATGGAATGACAATTAGACAAATATGATACAGTTAGGAGACTGTGAACACCTGTGGATTGGATGAATAGTTACAGTGGACAAAGACCAGAAAGTGGATGTATAGGCCTTGTCTTCTCATGCTCTCCTAGACTACTCAGCCAATCCCAGAAATTGGGCCTCTCCTCCCATTCAAAGAGCTCAGGTGATGGAATCCAGGAACATGGTAGAGTTGAATTTTTTGATGGATGAGTTTCGAACCTTACAGAAGTAGAACAGTTGAATGCATGTGTATCAGAAAATAAATTTCAGCTCCACACCCCTTCCTGAGATTCCCTGTGGATTGTTCACTCTTTCCTCTTGCTGTTCTGGGATCGCTTCTGTAAACAGTTGGTGTTCAGGCTGTTGCAAAGGCTGTGCTTTCCAGGAAAATTATTTTTTTAGACTAACTTGTGGGGTATTGGAAGTCTGGACTTCAGAATGGAACTTGAGAAGGATTGACAAATTTTAGTGAGTCACCATGATAATAAGGGGCTGAGATAGAAAAGAGGAAAAAGGTGAGAGCAGTGGGAAGTTTAAGGTATCTAAGCAAGTGTTAGAGTGAGTATAATAGTGGGAAGTGAGGATCAGGAGCTATAGGAAAATGGGGTTGGAACAGGAGCATTTTGAGCCTTGGAAGAAACAGCACTGAGAAGAAACTCAAGATTTCCTGGGCTTTAAGGTATCTGGGACTTGTTCAGAGAAAGGGCAGGATCGATGGCTAGTGCCTGCTCATGACTTTGGTGGGAGCTTGATCTGGGTAGACAAGATTCTCTAAATGCCTCCTCGAACTGCCTCTATGAACATTTGATTCCATTCTCTGGCAGCTTATAATGTCACCACAGAGCCATGTTTCCAGGGGCACCCCAGCATTATTTACAGAGCAGGAAGAATGATTTATGGATCTAGAGTAGTGATATTCACCACTAGATGCCAAGCAAGAAAGAAATTTGCCTACTAGAGTCCAAATTAGTGAAGTCTATGCTGTATGCACCCACACACACACACACACACACACACAAAAGAAAAACAACTAATATCCAGACATGTAGCCTTGAGGACGCTGTAGATGGGTTTCTGTGCATGGCTGTGCACATGTGTTCTGTGACTCATAGCAGACTGGGTGAGTAAAGGATATGCTTCAGCCAAGGGCACAGCCCCTCTGCCCCAGTGGCCTCAGCTCCTGTAAAATATCCTTGGTGCTTTTCCAAGTGTTGGCTTCTAAAGCACAGAAAGTTCTGTTGGTTGTTTCTCTTGTGAGCACATCCAGGAAGTTAAGTCACAGGATTCTTTTGTCTGAGCTAATTTTATTCTGAGGCAAAATAGTGTCCCTGAGAGTGGGTGAGTAAAAGATGGAAAGTGTTATGCTTGCTCAAGCAATAGAATCCAGCCTGTTGACTCAGTTGCCTGTTCTGGGATTTACACAGAATCACACTGTGCATAGTGACAGCTTCAGCGACCAAGATTATTATGAGAACTTTATATTTTCTCTCACATTGTCAGGATCCATGAGAAAGGCTGCCTCACAGACAGTGTTAGACCAGTTCATGGGCACTGGTTGGCAGTAGGTGCATGGTTAAGTTTGAGGTCTGCATCACTGCTGAGTGCAGCTGGAGTGATGGAGGTCTCTAGTATCTTCTCTTGGTGACTGCAGGTAGCTGAATCCATGATGCTACTGGTGGTGTGTGGCAGGACAGGAACACTTTCTGTGCAGACTGAACAGCCCTAAAAGTGTGGAACCTTAGAAAAACATGGTTCCATTTGAGTTGGCAAAGTAGTGTTTAACTTTGATGACAAGAGTTTAACATCCTGGAAGCAGAAGTGGGAAACATGAGGCCCATGCAAATGATGTGGAGGCAAACAATTTTCTTACCTGCCTGCAGGACTGCTCTCAGTCTTCATGACATACTATGAATGAAAATAGCAGAAGTCTTATCAAAAAGATTTTGTGGGTAAGTAGATGGGGAAAGAAAAGTAACTAGGATATTTAAAGCCAAAGAATATGTTAGAGTAGGCACTTTACCCAGCCTCTGAAATTGTGATGCCATACTCATCCAGTTACCAGGGGAGAATGTTCAGTTTTTCTTAGTTTCTGTTCTCTCTCTGTGGAGTCCAGGGATAGTGAGTGGGCCTTCCAACCTTAGAGGACTTTTATATGTGTACATAATTATCAAATACTGGCACAGATTTAGGAGTCTTTTTTGGACTAAGTTTCACATCTGGTTAATATGAAATTATTTCTCATGAGGGATCACTCTTTGTTGGAATCAGAGCTGAACAAAGCTTATCTATATCTAATGGTTAGAGTATTTGCTTCCAGACCACAGTCCCTAGTATCCAGTCATCATTCAGGCAGTAAGTACCAGCTCTGTACTAGGCTCTGCAGACAAAATGATCAATAATATGGCCTGACTTTTGAGAGCTTGTGGTTCCATTAGTTTGATATAGAAGCTTCACAGCAGTTCATCTCATGTACCCTTTTTTTAAAATAATATCTTTATTGGGATGTACTCTACCCACAATAAAATTCACTTGTGAAGTGCCCAGTTCTTGTTCTAGGCATTAGCACATCCACCCTGTTGTGCACCAATCAGAAATTCTTCTCTACCCCCCAAAAAAACCCTTTACTCAATTGTAACCATTCCCATTCTTACTTCTTCTCTAGCTTCAGGAACCATGAATCTTTCTTTCTCATTGATTTTTCCACTCTGAGCATTTAATAGAGAAGAATATACACTGCATGGCCTTTTAACACAATTTATGGCTTTAACTCAGCTCTTTCTCTTTTCTCTTATCTTTTGATGACCATCATCATATACTTGAATGAGTCATTTTATTTGTACTTCTATGGCCTGTGTTCTGTGGAATAAAGAAACGGCACACCTTTCTTCAACTAGTACTTATCAGAAGCCTCATTTTTGTCACATTTTACTGGTCCCTGTTACTAAATTAATAGTCTGATAAAGGTAAAATGACAAAAATGAGAAAAGCATAAACACATAAATGTAATCAAAAGATCAGAGAAGCCTTGTCCAAAGATAAGAAATTTAAACCAAAATTTGAAGAAGGATCCAGTGACATGAAAAAATGGGGCTAGACATTGGGCACAGCAGTTGCAGAGGAGCTAAGGTGGGGAGGTGTCTGGTGAGTTTCAAGGCCTGAAAGAAACCCAGAGTGGCTGCAGTGCTGTGAGGAGGGGCCACAGTTGAGAGAAGCAGGCCCAGATTACCTGGAGTTTTGTCTTTGAACACAGGTTTGGATTTTTCAGATGCAGTATGAGGTTTTCAACCAGGAGAGTGCCATG